ATACAAAACTGAATAATTTGATGTACTATCATTGACTATCGATAAACGTAAATTCTTCAAACACGAAAACTAAATTTTCTTTACGTACATATTTCGACATTATCGATGCGCTTTTAACGAGTCCTCTTTTAAAAATTTCATCTACTATAAAATTCGCTATATTGCTCGTCTAATTCGTCGAAAAAAAAAATTACAAAAATATTTTCTTTCGTTTAAACTTGAGTATTTAGGTACTCAACTCTTCCCACAATTGAGTGAAAAACATTTTTCTAATTCACCGAAAAGAGGCTGAAAATAAGCGTGAATTTCACGACGATATAAAACTACCTTATAAATACACTCTGCAAATTCGAGGGAAATCCGTTTATTGTTACAGCAACATAGATCCCCATCTCTCGCACTACTGTTTAGCTGTAACATCAGGATCTCAGTCTCACCCGTTGACCCTTTGCGCGGCGCAGAATATTTTACGCATCCATCCGCACCCAACGAAAAGGAGTTCCTCCTCGAAGGAACAGCAACATCGGGGCATTCCGGAAGGACTTCATTGCGTGCGTCAAACAAAATTGACGCTCCACAGGATGAAGTACGATACTACGTACAATTTTACTTTATACGTGGTTAGTAATCGCGACTTCGAGAGGGTTTTATCCTACAATGCCTGTGCCACATAATTTGTGAACGCCTGTACGAGAGTACCAAAAGCATTTCTTCTTTTCTAAAAAGGAATACATTATTTTTAAAGGTTTTCTCTTTTAATTTAGAGAAGAAGTACTTCCAAGAAACATTTCTTCATTTTTTTATTTTATTTTTAAAATGTTCATTTTTTTTTTTTAACACTAGAACTACTTACCAACCGGGTCAAAATGACCTATTAGCGACTTTCCAAAAGTGAATTTTTATGTAACTAAAATGTGAATGAAGAATTAGATTAGATCGGTACAAATAGAAGCACACATGCAGAAAACAAAGTCGAAAAGTAACAAATGGTAATACTTGCTGTGCATCGAACATTCATTGGTTTTGGAAAGTTGCTAATGGGCCATTTTGACCCGGCCGGTAATTCTAGTGTTAAGTACTGTTTTCTTACTAGTTTTAGAGTATTGTTGACCTTGTATTGCAAAGTACACCGGTATCACGTAATTTGTGAACGTCTGTACAAGAATACCAAAAGTATTTCTTCTTTTCTAAACAAGAATTTTTAAAGGTTTCTTTTTTTTAATTTAGAAAAGAACTACAGTAAATTCTCCACAAGTGTCAGTCCGCAAGGAACCTAAACCTGACACTTGTAGAGTCAGGGACTACGTTTTCGAGCCTCGCGCCCGCCTTTGTAGTTTGCCGAACGTAGACAAGGACAGCGAATAAAAGATAAGGATGAAACGTGAGTCGAGGCAACCAAGCGATTTAAATATCAACTTTTTTTAGTTTACGTTTTCTTATCCCGAAATTTTTCTTAACATATTGATGAGATTTTTCTGATGAAAATGATATCAAAGACGGTATAATTTGAACAACTGTTCTGTCACGCCAGATTTACAGATTGCTGTCAGGCGGCCACAAGAAAACACATTTTAAGCATTGGATTATAGTATTATGCTTTATAATTTTTTTTTTTCAATTGAAAATAATGTCTAGCTAGCTATGACGTTCAAAATTTTTAGTTGACAACATTTAGTTTGTTTCCTCGTAGCTTTTTCCCATTTTGATTAGTACAGCCGCCCCTTTTTTCGTATTTACCTCTTTTCTCTCTTTATCGCGTTTTCCCTCCATCCTGAGTACCTGTACTCCCGTACCCAATTCCTTCCGTCCCACCCTTTCCGCCCAAGTTCTTTGCTCGGATGCCTCTTCCGTTTGCGTAGCTATTGTCCTAGTTTTCTTATTCCTATCCTCTATCGTCTCGCTTCCTCCTCCAGACCACGTACAAAAAAAAAAATGTAGGTTCGATTCCACAAGTGTCAGTCAAATGTAGGGTCGATTCGACAAGTGTCAGTAAAATGTAGGGTCGATAGCAGCAGAAAAGCTGCTAAACAATTAGAATTAAATGTAACGATAGAAATTATTGCAATAATGCGTAATGCAATTGAAAAATCGCAGAAAAGTCTGATACAAATGTTTGAAAAGTAAAATATATAAGATGAGATACAGTATCTTACCACGTAATGTAACTTTTTATTGTGTAACATATTAAAAACACTGTTTGGGAAAAATTTGTCACAGAATTGCATTTCTTATTTAATCTTCCTTTACTGCTACTTCTTGTGAAATTTTATATCAGAAAATTGAAGAAATTCTTCTTTGTGTTTCGTAGGCAATTGATTACTAATTTGCTATTGACAGATCGATGTTAAAATTTGATGTTAAATGGAACTTTCATATCTACCATAGAATCTGAATAACTTTTCAAAGTATTTTATTAAGAAACGCGCATATAGTGTTCAATTTTCTATCTTAGAATTAACTTACTTTATCTTACGAACTACTTAAAGTTAAAACTTTCAACTGTGTGTGAGAATCAGAGTGTCCACGGGTACGCGTAGTTCTTAGCTTGGTATCCTTTTGCAAAAGTGAGAATTTTCTTTGGAAAAGGATACCAATTACCAGGTCCCACCACGAGGAGGTGACTACGCAAGGGACCCGACAAAAACACATGCCCTACTGGCAGCTCTCTATCTTCAGAGATACGCGATTCTCATTCGTAGCAAAGGAGATAAGACACTTTATCAAAAATTCGTGTTCTTAACATAAATTTTTAAGGAGTGTCTTATATTTTATTTGAAATTGCAACGCTAATCATTTTGTCATAGTTAATTTAAAGATTGGAAAAATTCAATGCTCTCCTTTGATAGGGTTTCAAAAAATTATAAATCGCGGTCAGATTGAATTCAGAGCGCAACGAGAAATTCGCTATCATTCTAAAGAACCAGCGAGCATACACGACGAATTTACTCGCGAGTATCGCGCGCTACTCGCGAGTGATTAAGTCGCGAATAAACTCGCAGGAACTGAGTGATCGAGAATTTAATGTTCTATGTTTCGAATCGACGATAGCAAAATGTAGAAAGCATTTTTAGTAATTAGCTACGAATGAGAAACGCGTATCACTGTAAGAGAGCGCGCACATTGTACTCGATACAATTTTTCTATCTTATAGTTACTTATTTTATTTTATGGACTACTTAAAAGTAAAACGCACGCATCCCACGACGTCCATCGGCGGATGAATAGAATTATTTTTTATTTTCTTAGGCTAATTTATTTTACCTTATCAACTACAATCCTTAAAATTAAAACTCACACACACGGTTCTTAACTTAGAACTTCGCTTACTTGCTAGTTTAATTTTGGAAAAGGAGAATTTTTAAGAAATGACGCGAATTGCCTAAGATTCACCACTAACAAGATTCGTCATTACGTCAAGAATCCTATTGATTTACTTGGATATTCCATAATTTCTTACTGAATATGTATTCGACAAAGGACGTCGAGGATTGGTATAGTTCCTGATTTTCTAATTGAACTAAAATTCGAAATAGTTGGTGGAAACTGTAGAAGCTTTATTATAAATTGGAATAGATCGATGGGCTATTGTGGAATAATAATTAGCAGTGACAATTGTTTGACACAGTTACCTATGGGTTACCACAGAATGTTCATTAAGCAAATCTCTCGCATCAATTATATATTTTCGTTTTGTAATTTTTCTAGCTAAAGGAATACTTGTAACTTCTGAAAATTAGTAAAAATTAAGAAATTAGAAATTTTGTAACTTCTGAAAATCAGTAAATTGGGTTATTCATTGCAAATAAATAAATTACGAGTGTATATTCTGGAAGAAAGTGGTAAAATTTCTGAACTGGAAATAATACATAATGAATATAAAAAGAAAAGAAAAAGGAAATATGCGACTCACCATTCACAGAACTCACAGCTGACCACTGCAACATGGACTTGGTTGCATCTCATCTTCCTCTCAGATCCATGGAGTCTGAAATTCCCTCAGTGAACCATTTGCATCCTCTAAGCCTTGAATTTTAGTTCCATCAGCTAGATTTGAGTCCTCCAAGCCTCGAAATTTGGTTCCACCAGTGGTCCAATGCCAGATTGAGTGACTCAAAGTCAGATTTAAAGATCCACAGCCAGATTGAGAGATCCACAGCCAGATTGAGAGATCCACAGCCAGATTGAGAGATCCACAGCCAGATTGAGAGATCCACAGCCAGATTGAGAGATCCACAGCCAGATTGAGAGATCTTTTGTAGAGATTAGAAATCAGGTTGACCTGTGGTCATAGATTAAAAATAACCCTAGTACAGCTAAATTTATCGTGTTACATAATTCTTCTTACACGAATCAAAAATGTATTCAACGTTTGTTTGTTATAATATCGTGAAATGAATTATTTGTGCAGTTCTGTGCATTTTCTGTGCAGTTCAACCTAATTTACTTAAATTTACATTGCGAGACAGTATACTGTAACAAGTAGTAACAAGCAAACGTTGAATAAATTCCTAATTCGTATTAAAAAAATTATTTAACACAATAATTTCAGCTTTATTATGATTATTCTTGATAAATGACCACAGGTCAACTTGATTTTTAATCGTTATAATCTTTAAATTCAGTGTGAATAGAGAAAATGTGTAATATAATTCATTTCACGATATTATAACAAACAAACATTGAATACATTTTTCATTCGTGTAAAAAGAATTATTTAACACGATAAATTTAGCTGTACTATGGTTATTTTTAATCTACGACCACAGGTCAACCTGATTTTTAAACCCTGCGAAATTAATTTAACCACGAGTAACTAACGAGAACGCTAAAACCTATGTTTCCATTGAAGAATATTGTAAAAACGTATAAATTGTTATATGCAATGTTATAACAAATTGTTAGAAGTATAAATTTATACCAAAAAATTGTGAGAATTAATAAATTATACGTTATTATAACATTACAATAGAATGCAAAATAGAATTACGAAAGAATCGGCGATTTTCTGCGAAAAATAATTGATTCCCGCGAAAAACGAAGGATTTCCCGCGAAAAGTGACCGATTCCCGCGAGAAATTATCGATTTCCCGCGAAAAGTGATCGATCTCCCGCGAAAAGTAGTCGATTCCCGCGCAAAGTAGTCCGTTTCCCGCGAAAAGTAGTCGATTCCCGCGCAAAGTAGTCCGTTTCCCGCGAAAAGTAGTCGATTCCCGCGAAAAATAGTCGATTCCCGCCCGAATTATTAACGACTTTGCTAATGATTTTGGGGAAGGGGTACCACAGGTATAAATAGACCCGCGAGCTCCCGCGAAATCATTTACCCTTTATACTGGGCCCTAGACACTTCGCGTAATTTTGATCTGAGGGTACTGAGAGGTGAGTAGGGTGGTCGAGGGCTACTGGCTAGCAGCCTATGTCCACCCTATACACACTCAACTACCTTCTCTCAAAATTTCTTTCTCAAACTTACTATTAGACTTTGAATACTCTGCTTTGAATTTTTCTAATTGTTCGGTATTTTTCATATATTTTCTCTGATATTGAATTTTGTTTACTAATAATTTACCATCCAAGGAA